TTTTTTTTTTTTTAAGTTACTTCGAATATATAATTTTCTTCCTTAAAAGTCCCTTTATTTTATTGAGTCGTTTCGTTTCAAACTCATATTCGTATCATCTCCGATACTGAGGCTGAACATAATAAAATTTGGAAATCGATCACTGACGTGTAATGAAAGAATAAGTTCAATTTTTACGAAGTTATCACGCCAACGACAGGGATGCGGCGCTCTAAATTTAGTACACGGAGAACATCATCGATTCATCGGTCGATCGGTCTACTATATAGAATACTACGTTCACTGGTCAATAATTATTGCTATGCAAGCAAAAGCTATAAAAAGATACGATCAGCTACATTTACATGCGAACGATCATTATTTCGTGTCGATGGCCGCGAGTGCAAAACGCTGCTTTCATTAAAGCCACGCCGTACCAATGTGTATCTAAATTAACTGGTGAATTCTCCTTGTACTCTGACTTGTATTCATCTCGTGCATCGTTCGTTTCTAGAGACGTGTCGTGGCTTGGAACATACGATTTTGTTCGCGGTCCGATTTGCAGATCGGTGCCTCATACTTTCAAGTCCTGCAGAGATTCGAAGCACGTAGAGAGCAGCACTCGATTTAGAGGTAATCCACCAATGAATTTTCTTTTTTTTTTTTTTCCTTTCACTCGTTTTTTTTTTTTTTTTTTTTTCTCAAATGGACCTAATATTCTACGGGAGGACATAAAAATATGTACGAGTATGACACGACGACAATGATCACGACACTGAGTAACGCGTGTCTGGTCGTGCCAGTGAGCCACTCGAATACAATCTGGGGCTGAATGTTTGTCGTCCAGTGGCTCACTGGTACACAGCACACGCCAAGATATATATATATATTTTTTTTCTTTTTTTTTTCTTTTTTTTTTTGTTTCTTTTAGTTTTGCTCTGCACTAACTGCACGAGTTCTCGCCCGTTTTCTCAATTTATAATCGCTAAAACATATTATCGGCTAACTAAGTTTAAACGTTCCTATCGTTATCTATTTATCAATTAAACCTCTCTCGTTAAAACTATCAACGACGATTGAAGTTTACACCAAAGATTGAAGTCGGATCGATATGGGAATCACTTCGTTCTTTGCGGGGAAATCTGAACGGAAGAAATCTTTGGTATAAACTCGACGGCACAATAACGGGTGGACTACGTGCCCGAATATATCAGAGTATTTTCTGTTCAATTCTTAAGACTGGGGGGAAAAAAAAAAAAATTTTACGCACGCTTGTCGCCTAACGTAGCTCCCGAATTTTAACTTATCTTTACTAGCCAACTAGGACCAACAGCGATACTAAACTCGATGTAGCAACCTCCGTTGGTTTCCCTCGTCTCGTTATCTTCTCGCTTTCACGCGTTTCAGCGTTCTTGTGGTGCGGATAAGGCTCGACTCTGTTTCATCACTTAAGGAGCTAAGGAGCTTTCAGCTTTCTCTAACTTTTAAGTACATCAGTTGATGCTTCAAGCTTTTAAAGACACCTAACTAGAGACAACACGTACGAAGATTCGCACAGGAAAGTGCATCGATATCGCTAGGTGGACTTCCTTAATTCGCTTAACTTGACAAAGCATGTATCGTATGTATGTGTGCATACATACACATACATACATACATACATATGCCTTGTTTATATAACACTTTGTGAAAGACTCGATACACACAGCAACACCAGAGAATTTCATCGGAGATCAATCACTTTTATACATTCGCCGGTGTTCCTGACAACGAGATCTGTTTTGTCCACTGTAACTTTAGGCGTATGTT